TCTAGCTCCCTAGGTTTGCAATGGTAGAAGGTTCAACAAATGAAGATTTGGGGCTAGGGCTAAGAGAGTTGGAGTTTATTATGCGTGAAATGACAATGTTGCCCCTTCTCTCACGTGGGAACACCGCACGTGTTCATAAATAATGGGGGACGTTGTGGGAACTGCACGTTCCCTAAGAACGTGTTCTTTGAGAGTGTCGGTTTGTCACTCCCGAAGAACACATTTTTTGGGTGCTGTTCTCACTCGGGAATGGATTATTTCTCGCTTTTTTTTGCCAAACATGTTTCTATTCCACGAGAGTGCCAGGAATGAGAGAAACACTCTCGCAGAATGTTGCCAAACAGGGCCCTAGCAACCTTGATAGAGCAAGATGAGGTAGCTAAGAGGAATGTTGAGGAGAAAAAAAAGGACAATGTTTTATTAGATGTTGAAGGAGATTGTGAAGATCCAACTAGAAAGAAGAGGTGGGAAAAAAAGCTTAGGAGAAAAGATCACCAAGGTAAAGGTCTTATTTAGGAAGGAGGTAGGAGATGATATAAAGTGGAAGAGGAAGATGGGTGAAGTGGAGAGATTAGCATGTGGAGTATCGTATGATAAGACGGTTAACAGGAAGAGGGAAAAAAGATAGGATATCAACAATTGAAGAAATAGGACAGGGTCCTTACAAAGGTGTGAAATGAAGATTCTTTGTTGGAATGTAAAGGGTTTATGGAGTGCAAAAACAAGAAGAATCATCAGAAATGTGTTAAAAACTGAGAATCCAGTTATATTTATGCTCCAAGAAACAAAGATCTCAGTGCTGGATAGAATATGTATAAGAAGTATTTGGAGCAGTAGAGGTCTAAGCTGTTCATTTGCCCCATCATGGGGAGCCTTGGGAGGAGGTATTGTTACAATTTGGAAGAATGAGGAAGTAGATTGTCAGGAGGAATTGAAAGGGCAATATTCAGTCTCAATTAAAGTAAAAAGAGGGTGATGGAAGAGAATGGGATGCACTCTAGGAAGAGCTAGCTGCAGTTAGGAGATTAGGTGGGGACTTCAATGTGATAAGATACACAAATGAGATAAATAACCCCAACCAGGCTATAACCACAAGTATGAGGAAACTCAATACCTTGATAGAGTCCCTAGAGTTGAGAGAACCTACTCTGTTACGAGCCTCTTTCACCTATTCAAATTTTCAGGAAAGTCAAGTTTGTTACAAGCTGGAATGGTTCCTTTTTTTCTATTAGTTGGGAAGAACTATGGGGAAACCTGACACTGAGAGCTCTCCCTAGGGTAACCTCTAACCACTGCCCTCTAAGTTTATACCAGGAGAACCTTATTGGGGGCCATACACCCTTTAGATTTGAAAATACGTGGCTAGAAGTTCCACAGTTTTTGCAAAATGTAAAAGATTGGTGGTCAAAAGGTGGAATTAGGAATAGAAACAAAAGGTGAGATTCACAAAGAAATTTAAGAGACTAAAGGGAAGAATCAAGGAATGGAACAAAGAAGAGTTTGGGAAATTGGAGGAAATTGCTAGAAAGATTGAGGAGCTGGATCAAAAGGAAGCCCGAAGAGGGAGGAAAGATAAAAAAAGGTGGATCTTAAAAGTGCAACCAGAGGAGATTCTAAGAAAGGAAGAAATCTCTTGGAGACAAAAAGCAAGGTGTAAATGGCTCTTGGATGGGGATGGAAATACATAGTTTTTATTTTTTGTTATGGAAATACAAAGTTCTTTAATTCACTTGCTAATGGGAGGAAAAGAAAAAGAACCCAATCTCTAGCATTGAGGTTGAGGGAAGAATAATAACTTCAAAGGAGGAAATTGAAAAATGCTTTGTGGACCATTTCAAGTCAATCTTTGCCTCCTTAGATGAAAGGACATTGGACTTGGGAGAATTAAATTGGGATAAGGTGTTGGGTTACACAGCATACCTCTTAGAAAGAAGCTTCAGTTTAGAAGAGGCTCATGATGTTTTTTTCTTGATAGGCAGATCTAAAGCTCTTGGACCTGATGGTTTCTCAATGGCTTGATGAATGTCTCTGTTGAGTTCCATCAAAAAGGGGAAATTGCACCAGGAGCAAATGCAACCTTCCTTGCTCTTGTGCCGAAGAAGAAAGAGGCCAAAACCCCCAAAGACTAAATGTCGATAAGTCTAGTGGGTACTTTGTATAAGATCATTGCAAAAGTCTTGGCTGGTCGGCTAAAGACTATTTTGTCCATGGTTATTTTTCAAAACCAAGGAACCTTTTTGGAAGGGAGACAAATAGTGGATCAACTCCTAGTGGCAAATGAATGTGTGGCAGCAAAGAAAAAACGAGGAAAAGGTCTGATTTGTAAATTGGATCTGGAAAAAGCTTATGACATGGTGGACTGGTCCTTGCTTTGAATACGATGGAAAAGTTTGGGTTAGGTGAAAGATGAAGAATGTGGATCAAAGGTTGTATTAGCTCACTCAATTCTTTTAAATGGAATAGCAAAGGATTTCTTTATGGCAAAAAGGGGACTAAGACAAGGTGATCCCCTATCCCCCTTCTTGTTCAACTTTGTTGTTGAGGTGTTGAGTAGGCAAATCATCAAGGATGATCAAGAAAATCAGTTGAGGGGATGTAGAATGGACAGATCGGAGGTGGCCGTGACTCACTTGCAGTTTGCAGGCGACATTACCATTTTTTATGAGAATGAACTTAGCTTGAGGAATCTGAAAGCTTTAGTGGATAATTTCCAGCTGATCTCAAGGTAAAAGTCAATTGTGGTTGGAATAAACTTGGACGGGGTTGACATTCAGGCCTTGGCAGGATTACTAGGTTGTGAGGTAAAAACTTGGCCCCTAGAGTATCTAGATATGCCCTTGGGGGGGAACCCAAAATCAGAAAGCTTTTAGAAATCAGTTGTAGAGAGATTTAGTAAAAATCTAACGATTTACGATACAATTCAATTCAAACCTCTTTACTATATACGATATGGTCACGATTTTCATAACATTGTATGGCATTTATAAAATATTTTTATATTCTTTATTCTTTGAGATTATAATAATAAATTAGACAATATTACACTAAATTATTCATTATGTGGGTTTGTATGCTAGTTTCTCTTTCTTATTGTTGATAAGGTTTAATAAGCACGTGTGTTTCTGTATAGGCTTCAAAACTTGAACTGGTAAGCGAGGAAAAGTTAAAAATTTATCCAATCAAAACATCTTATTCTTGGGACAAAAGGAAAAGGCTCAGTGCCTTTATTTTCTCAAATTTATTTTTTTCTTCCCTTTTTTATTATGAATATGTTGATTTTCTATGTTTTAATATTTAGTTTATACTTTTTATGATAACTATTAGTGAAAGATGATTGCTGGCCACTATTGGAACCTAGGGAGTTATCCTAAGATTCAGGATTTTTATTTAAATAAAAAACCATTGCCTAGATGACAAGATACCCCCTGTCACCTAGCTTTGGTGCTTTGAAAACTATGCTCAGAAGATATGTATGAAGTTAGAGATAAAATGGAAGAGAAATTGATTGAGAGAAGAATAATCTTGCTTTTTGTGTGCAACTCTCTTTTCTATTTGTATATGAAAGAGAAACACTAGAGAAATTGACTAATATACCCTGGCCAACCACAGCTATATAAAGAATAAAAGTCTCATTGAGAGAAACCTACCTTCAACTACAAGAACACAGACTTTTCAACATAGACAACCTTGTTAGAGATGGAAAACAGAATCACATATCTAATGCTAGAATAATATATCTAATATGTTTTTGTTAGGGATCCCAACAGCTGTACTTAATTCAGGTTTTTCACTAGTAACTCTTTGATCTTGATGCTGAGAAAAAAGAAGGGACGAGTATGAATTTAGCATTCTGGATTTAGAAGAAACAAATAACTTGGGGAATCCTAGAATCAGACAGAGAAAGATCCCACCTTTCACAGATACACAAAAAGAGAAGCTCATGATAAAACCTGAAAAGATTTCTCTAGTTGCACACCTGTAGCAATGCAATCAACAATGATGTTTAGCAAATCTGGGGACCTAATAAGACAAAATGGGTTCACCCTGGATATCGAAGATCTCATCTCTCTGGTAAGATGACATAATTTTCAGTTCCAAAGGTCCTTGTCCAACTTTTTACCATTCAGCAATCACCATTTACGATAAGCCTCTCATGCCCCTGTGTCTCAGCTTTCCAAGGGATGGAGCACTAAAAGAATTACCAATTTCCTTTGGTTAGATGTGCTCTGTACACACCAATCAGTGATAGGTAGACGTGACAATTATATAGGTGCTTATAAAGCCTCTGCCTAACTTTTAAATGGGCAAGTACCATAACAGTGGGATAAGTAGCTGTCCATTGCTAATCTTGTGTGCAGTGATGTGCATAGAAGATTTAAAATCAGAGAAAACAAAATCTTCTGTTTACGAACAGGTCATTCAAGCAAATGCAAGTACTAAATATGTTATTGACATGTGAGCGTATACTTTTCTTAAAATCATTTATCTTGAGAGCAATTATGTTGTTTGTCATGCTATGTTAGATGATATACAAGGTATTAAATGGTATATATACCTTTTGCCCAGGCACAGTTGGCTATTGGCCTAAGCTAAAAACCTTTATCCATACTGACTGAAATTCATTGTATAAATGAACTTGGTTTAAAGTAGTTTGTTAAAAACATTATACGTGGTACATTTGATATGCGCCTGGTATCTGCTGAATCTGCCTGAACCACTCGTTTGTTGTTCATATATATTTGGATGAATCCTGTTCAATATAACCAACTTCTACATTTATTGGCTTCCAACTTTCCTTGTTCTGGTTTCATGAAAACCCACTTGTTAGTAAGTCCTAGTGGAAGTACAATAGTTTCCAAATTGGTATTATGCAATGATGTACTGGATGACGTTATATGGAAAAGAGAATTTCATGAAGGAAGCGTTCTTGATGGTTCTCTAAGATTTGACATTAACGGAACCTATATTTAAAACTCAATTCTCTTTCTGCTTTCTTGCAGGAGCTGGAGAAGATGTTGCCATGTGCACCTCCTCCAGAACCAAAGTATCAGCTTAGAAGAACAAGTTCGGCACCTATCTAACATGTGTTTATATGGAAGTTTTGTAGAATTGCATGCATGGTTTCCTTGCATTTAGATGCTGGGTATCCTCTCGATCTCCCTAAATGGTGAGGTTAACCTTGTAAGCTGGTGGGGGTGCTTAGAAGTTCTTTTCTCAGATCTTTGCGTTGCTTTTACTGTTGTTTCTGTTGGTTTTCGCACCCTAACATATTGGTTGTATGTACATTTATGTTTAGTTGTCTTTAAGTTTACAAAGCACCATAATTCTGCATGTTGAACATGTAGATTTGTCATTAAAAATAACAATCAAGGCTATTAGTTCAGACGTCGGGTCTTTTGTGTGAAGCCATTTGTTACCGTAGAATCATAGATAAAGTTTTAAGGCATACTAGTAAAATGCTTGTCATAGAAAATTGGGAGTTCTAGATTATCTGAGGTCTTTTGTGTGAAGCCATTTGTTACCGTAGAATCATAGATAAAGTTTCAAGGCATACTAGTAAAATGCTTGTCATAGAAAATTGGGAGTTCTAGATTAAGTGGTTGTTCTGTGGTGTGGATGAGAAATTGGGTGGTATGAATGAATATACATCAAGTCTGGAATTGTTTTGTAGGGTAGACGGACTATGTATACTAATCCACACCACACCCATGGAGGCATTCTACAGGATGTATGTGTGGTTTAATCTACACCTTGTGTTTTGATTCTATGTATATAATCTCCACTGTTAATCTAGTATAAAATTTATTATGTTTTGTAAATAAACAAATAGTGGATAAATAATACAAATCAACTATGATTAAAATAAAGGATGAAGACATATTTACTAATAAATATAAAAATGAGAAAAATCACAATTATGAAATTAATTAATAAAAAATAGTGAAAGATTAAACAAAATTACCTAATAATAACTAATAGAAATCATAGTATACAAGTATCTAATAATGATAGAATTTAATAAAAAATCAAAAATAAATTTGTAAAAATATCTTTTAATAACCTTAAGAATTAATTAAATATTATACATTTGAAATTAATTTTTAGCATCAAAATTATTTTAAAATAATAAAAATAGAACCATGGGGGTTGTAACAATGAAGCAATTTCTTATTATAAAAACTAATCATCTACACTGGTGTGGACCAAACTACAGTAAATACTTGGGGATGATAAATTCAGTATGCATCCATGGTATAGTGTAGATATAAATGGTCCGCAAGTCTAGTAGTCAACCAAACTCTAAAAAGTGTGGCATGGATGAAAATGGTCCAACACCATGAGATATACACATTTTCGAACGCCACCTAAATGTTTAATCGATGCTCTCTCTAGAGTTTCTAAACTTTCAAGTGTTTGTTTTGGGATATTGGTAATCAATGGTTACCAAGTAATGAAAGGAATTGTGTGCGTTTTTGGAAAATGTACCTTCCATATAAATCCCAAGGCTTGCAAAACTATAACCTCTTCATGGTTGAAACTTGAAAGTATAGCAAGACTCGGCTAGACTATACCAATGACACCATGACCCAATGACCATATTGGGTCTTTGATTAAATAACAGTTTTTATCATCATCCAAGCCTTATCCCAACAATATGAGTTCGGTTGTCATGAGAGTTTGGCATAAGTTTTAGTGTCAATGGCCAATTTGACGAAATCCTCTCTCTAGGCTTGGTATGAGAGACAAGTTCACACTTGTGGAATCGAGTTAAATATTATTTTTCATGGTTTGTATGGGCTAACAGCCTATAACTGTATGGCCAGTAAATTCGTGACTTGGTAACCATTATGATTTTGTCAGGTCCGAATCTTGCAATAGTGATTGGTATTGTCAAAGGTCTTGGAAAAACAACTTTAAGAGATTGGGAACTTGAGATGCACTTCAAAAAACCACCTTTGTGGAAAAAAGTTAACGTATGCATGGAGATATTAGAGAAATTTGTATACATCTCAAAAACTACATCAATCCTTGTTAAATCTAAGGCCCAAATGACTATTAATAACTATAGAAAAAATTGACTATTTATCTATCTATCCATCTATCTATCTATCTATTTATATATATATATATATATATATATATATATATATATATA